CGGCCCGGCGCTCCCCGCTCCTCCCGGCGCCCCCGCTCCGCCCGGTGCCCGCCGCCGCCGCCTCGCCATGTCGCTGCACGGCAAGCGGAAGGAGATCTACAAGTACGAGGCGCCCTGGACCGTGTACGCCATGAACTGGAGCGTGCGGCCGGACAAGCGGTTCCGCCTGGCGCTCGGCAGCTTCGTGGAGGAGTACAACAACAAGGTGGGCGCCGCGGGGCCGGGACCTCGTTCCGCCCGTCCGCGCTGCCCCGCGCACGGGGCCGCTCGGCCGTGCCCTGCCAGGCCGGAGCAGGGCGCTTGGCGCCGGCTCTGCCGCCCGCCGGGCCCCCCGGGCAGGTTCCGTGCAGGAAACTGGTACCWCGGGCACGTGCGGTTCGGAGAGGAGCAAAGAAACAGGCGTCGCCAGGGAGAATAGTCCCGTTTGCACCAAACCAAAGAGGTTGCAAGGAGAGCGTTACGTGCAGCGCGTGCGTTCGGTAACTGCAGCCGGCTGTCCCGTGGGGACTGCGGAAAACGATGTTGGAAACAGGCCCTGGGGGCCCTGGGCTTCATGCCGGGCTCTAAGGAGCTGAGGTGAGCCCAGCGTGGGGCCGGGTGACATCCGCGGGGTCCTTAGCCTGCTGGAAGCCCCCGTGCTTGTTGTGGGCCCCGGTGCTGCTGAAGCCTGGTTGTCTCCTTAGGTCTGGGAGCCCTGCGGTGGCCTTGGGGAAAGGCAGGTTGTGGAGCTGGAAAACTTTGCATGTGTTTAAAGGCTGACCTCGAAATGCGYCGTGTCAGAGGCGCTCTGAGAAATGAAACAACCAACACAAGCGGGCAGGGAGGAGTTTGTTAATAAGCAGGTATAGTTCTGTGCCGCCTGCTCACGGGTGAGTGAAGCTTTATGGTGCAGGAGGATGATTTATGTGACGTTCTAATTCCCTAAGTTTGGAGCGTTCCCTGGGGCGGCCCTGGACGCAGACAGGACTGGATCTGCTCTTCAGCTCGGGCTTGGAGTGAAGAGCTGTTGAGTCAACTCAGCCGGTGCCGCTTCTCCTGCCCTGCTCGTGGTTGTTGCAGACGGGAGCTGTGCAGGGCTGTGCAAAGTGCTGCTCTCCGTGACCGTGCCCCTGGCGTTGTTTTGACCCGTGTGCTTCAGGAATCCCGTTGTTCTCGGTGCAAGTGCTGCGGGATCTGTGTGGTATCAAGAACTGGAACGTGTTTGTATGAGATGCCCATCTATAGGAGCAAAGAAGGTGCATGGCTAAAAATTCACTTTGTCTAATAAAATCTAGTGTAACGTGACCTTCACTTGACTGAGATATCTTGCTGTATCTCCGATGCCGCAGAGAAATGTCTTTTTGCACTTGTGCTTTCAATACAGCCTCCCAAATAGCAGGGTCATTAACAGAGGATTGACTCGGGTAAATGCAAGTGTTGTCACTGCTTACAGTGGATGCTGTTCCCTTTACTGTACCCACCAGAAGGAGTTTGCTTGGGAACAGCGTTCCAACTGTACCGTTTCTTGTGATTTTTACCCCTCCTTTGAATTCTGTGGAGGTTCCTGAAATACTGAGGAAGGAAATGGCTTTGTGCTCTGGATTTGGAAGTCCTGGGCAGACTGCGCCTGTCAGGTTGTGCCGGTGCAAAGTCTCAGCTCCAGCTCCTGTGTGTTCATGCAAGTGGTTAAAACAGCAGCCTGGAATAAGAATTCTGGCTTCCTAAAAATCTGACCAGACAGGTGGAAATACCACTTCCTTATTAACCTTCCATTTTATTAAAAAGGGAGGGAGGGACTTTTTAAAAAAGATCTAACACACCAAGTGTTCACTGCTGACCAAACGCTGTAGGTTGGTAGAGTGAATTAGACAGGAGAGACTTTTGTCTTATTTATCTCTGTAAGTTTCTTTGAAGAGGGATGCAACTTTTCACAAGTTTAGGAATGCTGAYTAAGGGCATTTCTTTACTCAGACGCACTGCGGTAATTAAGACTTCAGTCGGTGAGAGTTTGGATTATGATAGTGTCACAGAACGAGACACTAAAGATAAGCATCTTGGAATAAAAAGTTCATTAAGCTACTGTCTTAGGAAGTCCCTCCTGTGAGCAGCTTAGGAAGCAACTGCAGTGACTTTTCCCACACTGGTTGTGTTTGAACAACACTTCACGCTGTGGGGCTTTCACCCTGTTGAGGTCTTTGAGTCACTGCGAGGGTAAATATATCCTCCTGGCATCGTAGGGGTCTSTGAATGCTTTATGGCGTGTCAGTATTTTCTAATAACACAATGTCTGGGACTTCATGCGTTACTTCAGGTGCTGTCAGGACCAAGCCACGTGGAGGTGGTTTCTTGTCCGCTCTTGCTTTGCTCTTGCAGCTCAGCAAGTCAGCCCTTCCCCCTGCCATTTTACGGTGCAGAAGCCTAATTTGGAACTCGATTACCTAGATTCTTTCAGCAGAACTGYTGGTCTTTTCTCACAAAACACCCAAATGATTTTATGAAGGTAATAGTTTGATAGRTAGCCAACAGCTTAAAACAAGTTGAAATAACCTTTGTGTAGCTAAGGTTGTGATTTAAACTGGGCTTTGCAGTGTGGAAAAGGAGGTGTTCTTAAYCCTTTAAGATGGGATTTTGCTCCTTCCAGGATCATCTCGTCAAGGTAAAACAGCGTGGTGATTATGTGCACTCAGCTCTCAGCTTTGTTTGCTAGCTGGGGCTGCACTTGCAGCCCAACTCAGGCTCTCACACACATGTAACAAAGCTTTAATTTCCTTGGGTTGTTGACATGTAGCTGTAGTCTGTTTTAATCCTCCTTGAGGTTGCAAAAGGAGTCCCCCTGAGAGATGCTCTGTTTTGATGTTGTGATTCAAAACAATCATTTTGATAAAATGCTTTATTTTAAATATGGTTTCTTACAGGTGCAACTTGTTGGTTTGGATGAAGAGAGCTCAGAGTTCATTTGCAGGAACACTTTTGATCACCCGTATCCTACCACAAAGCTTATGTGGATCCCAGACACCAAGGGAGTATATCCAGACCTGTTGGCAACCAGCGGTGACTACCTGCGTGTGTGGAGAGTGAGTAAATGGTCCCTTGAAGATGATCTGCGGTCTTAATTGCATTGTGCATTGATCTCATTTTCACTTGAGACCAAGGCTTTCGAAGTGAAATGTCTTCTGTTCAAGGCCTCTTGTGTTTGCTGCACAGTGGAGGAGAAAACATAAAACAAGTCAGAGCAGCTGATAACTTTTGAATGCAATATTAATGTGACAGTGTATTAAGAACTACAGAAGGAGCAAATTTAGAGAGGTAGTTACTAGAGTGTGTTAGAGTATGGAACAGATGCTGTTTTAATCACTTTATTGAAGACAGAGATGATRATTGTGTTTTGCAGAGCTTTAGGATGTAAAGCTGGGAGGAGAGAAGGCCAGGTTAACATCCTGTGCATTGAGAGTGCAAGTGGCACCAGTGCTGTGCTGTTGCTGTTTGAGTCAGGTGTTTTACTTTTTCTCTAGGTTGGTGAAACAGAGACCCGGCTGGAGTGTTTGCTGAACAACAACAAGAACTCTGACTTCTGTGCTCCGTTAACATCATTTGATTGGAATGAAGTGGATCCTTACCTTCTAGGTGAGAATGGCACAGAGGAGACCAAGCAGAGTGGATAGAAAACTTCCTAATAAGCTTCTTTGCTGGAGGGGGCTGAATTCATCATGTTTAATTACAGCCYATGGGACAAATTGTGATTCTGAGATGACTGATCCAGCAGCAGCTTGCTTCCCAAAATTGTGCAGCCGTTTGTGTCAGGGAGATTTGTCCAGAGATTAACAGTGATCATGCACCTTCATGATGTTTACTACTTGGTGTATTTTTTTGTGTTGCATCTCAGCAATTAGCTGAGATCTACTCCTCGCCCCTACCTTGAATCCACAGAAGCGATTATAATATGTGATAGTCTATTTAGTGTATTTTATATGTAATACCCTTATTAATTACGATTTGGGCTTGACATGTCTGTCAGCTTCACAGGATGGGAAAATCCATATGTTGAAGTTGCATCGGGACTATACACTGAAGTAGGTCTGAACTTGCACTTTTTTTTGTATGAGGAAGACTCTGCAGCTAAAAAGTCGGGGTTGCTTAAATGTATTGTAAGGCTGTTGGTTGTTTTGACATTCTTGATTTTAATTGTATGCTGGTCTTGTAGCTATTTTGGTCTGTAGGCATGAGAGGATAATAGACTAATCCAGTGAGTGGTTATCAAATCTGTGAGAATAACATTGCTAACAAATGTTTTTGTTTTAGGTACCTCTAGCATTGATACAACCTGCACTATTTGGGGTCTGGAAACGGGACAGGTTCTGGGAAGAGTCAATCTGGTCTCTGGCCATGTTAAGACACAACTTATTGCACATGACAAAGAGGTGATGACTTTTTATGGTTGTTTACATTGTGTATTTTAAAGTAGTAGAAAAGGAAGAGTTTTGCTGTTTTCAACTCTTTTTCTTTTAAAAAACTAAAATAAAGCCAAAGAAGGTTATATTTCTAAAATTAATATGTATAGTTTTGAAGACCAAATTAAAACCATAGTGCTGGCAATCAAAATTCCTCTGTTTATTCATTATAGAATTCAGATTTGAGAACCTCCTCTGAGATTATGTCCCAGAATATTTTAGAAAAAATGGATAAACAGTTAATTTCAATTTCCGTTTGATATTTTATCTAAGGCAATAAGCAACTTACAGAATGGTTTTGCTTTGGTATGGCATTGCTTTTCAGCCATTAAAATACAAGTCAGAGGCAAGGAAATTTGAACGTTCAGTTTCAGTGAATGATCCCGTGGCACAGCCCTGTAGTGGAGTGGTCTGTTCCCTCCACTCAAGGGAACTAGTGACTAAAACCTGCCAGGGAAGTTGAGTCGCTGACATAAAATAGCACTAAGAGCTTGCTGTTCACATGGAAGACCTGCTTTACTGCTCATTAAAYGTGAGCTTTGGTTTCTGTCTGTGCTAACGCTGAGCAGGTGTACGACATAGCGTTTAGCCGYGCGGGCGGTGGGAGAGACATGTTCGCCTCGGTTGGTGCCGACGGCTCTGTGAGGATGTTTGATCTCCGTCACCTGGAACACAGCACCATCATTTACGAGGACCCCCAGCACCACCCGCTGCTGCGTCTCTGCTGGAACAAGCAGGATCCCAACTATCTTGCCACCATGGCCATGGATGGCATGGAGGTGAGGCAYGCATCAGTTCTCAGCCCTTTGAAGTAAGGGAGGCTTTGGGGCAGGGGCATCCTGTCTCATAGAGGGTCAAAATGTTTTGCTTTCTGAAGGAGAAAGTAAAAGAAAAGTTTGTAATTGTGGATTTGTTTGTTTGCTTTCTGAAGGTTGTGATTCTAGACGTTAGAGTTCCCTGCACGCCCGTTGCCAGGTTAAACAACCACAGAGCGTGTGTAAATGGAATTGCTTGGGCACCTCATTCTTCCTGCCATATTTGTACAGCAGGTAGGCAGGGAAAAAGCTTCTGGTTTGTGAAAGTCTGGGAGACTTCCATTATCTTTGCAGAGCTCGCTCGCTCGCGCGCTCTCTCTCTCTCTCTCTCTCTCTCTCTCTCTCCAAATAATCATGCAGTTTTTTATGTCTTGTCTTTTGCTAAAGAACACCTGCAATTTAGAAGCTATTTACTATCCGGCTTCCCAGAATATACCCTTATTAGTAGGAATAAATGGACATTTTGTGATACCTTGTATTCTGTTTCTGATGTTYTTGTCCATTTGCAGCGGACGACCATCAGGCTCTCATCTGGGATATCCAGCAAATGCCTCGGGCCATTGAGGACCCTATCTTGGCCTATACAGCAGAGGGAGAAATCAACAATGTACAGTGGGCATCGACTCAGCCAGACTGGATAGCTATCTGCTACAACAACTGCCTGGAGATTTTGAGAGTCTAACAGTACTGCTTCATGCCACGTTGAGGCAGGGCTGTATAATTTCCCCTCCCCTCTAAAGTAAGAACAACACAAGTCAAGTGGCCAGTATCTGTTGTTGCTTTGCATCTACTGTTCCAAGAAACTGTTACAAGGATTAATGGCAGGCGTTTCCTGTCGCTTCAAGACTCTAAAATGCAGAGACATGCTGAGCCTCTTGGACCTTCTGGGTTCTGGTTTTATTTTTTTTTCCCTCAGTTAAAAAGTTCTGTATATTTGTTTGTTGACTGTGTTAATAAGCTTGCAGGCTTTAAGTTGCTGCATATGTCCTGTGTTTGTCAGCCAGCTGAGGCAACACATTCAACTAGTTTAATAGCTAAGTGCAAAACAAGGTGGGATAAAGACACTGTTGTGAACAGCCACCTTGGCAGGAATCTTTATTGTTCCTGTTGTTTCTGCCTCTAAACTGTTTAAACATTTGTATGTTTTTTATATATTGGGCTAACTTTCTATTGAGTAAGGCTTTTCTCCCTAATTCTTACTTTTGATATGTGATCCACTTCCACATGCCCTAAGCAGGGTCTGTTCATAGGTAGAAATCACAGTAATACTGTCRGCTCCCTGGCAGTAAAGGCCTGCCAGAATGAACCATTGCCTTGGCTCTCCTGGTTGCGTGGGTGGAATCACCCAGGCATGTGAAGTACAAGCACTTGTTGCACAGTTTCTTTAGGCTCTTCTGATGCTACAGGCAATTGTTAAGRTGGTAGGCCTTGTTTTTAAATTATAACTGAATTTACTGTGTCTCTCCTGAAGTTGTGGTAGGTAACAGAGTGGTAATAGGTTTCAGAAACATGATACTTGCATGACTTGAGCTATCTGTGAGGTAAATGACTTCTGAAAAAGAAAAGGTGATTTGTAATGGACTTTGGATTGACATTTCCAATCAAATGATTTCCCCTTAGAAGACTTACTATCTCAACTAAAATAAAACGGTTTCACACTTTGTACCTTGCTTGATTGGCCAATAACCTGAGCAAGATTTTGTTGTTAACCTGTATTTTGGTGCTACTTTGCATTTGGTTTGTATTCCTGGGAGCTCTTGAAAGGTGCCCAGAGCAATCTTCTTCCTAAGTGTATTTGCTTTGTGCTGCCAGAGCTTGTTGAATGAGTGAGATGTATTGGAAAAGCTGCTCTGCTCTCCAAATGAAAGCCATTCCCCTAAAAGAAAGGATGCCCTAATGTMATGCTCAAAGGTGGGTTTAAACTGAAAAAGAACTGTGCCATCAAGGCAATGGTTTGGTACTCATCATTTTCATTTCTTTTGGGATGAGACTTAGGGGCTTTTGCTTCTGTTTTGAATAGTGAATTGCTCTACAATAATGTTTAGCAGTCAAAGCTGAGCAGCTAAGGCAAGCTAGGAGCCCTTAAGGAAGTCTGAATGTAACCCAGCTGTTCCGGCTCCTGTTCCGTGGTGCCCTCCCAATGTAGACGTGACAACTATAGCTGCACAGGGAGCTACACCAGCCGAATTTTGATGTAAAAGTAAGAAACTATCCAAGTTGTCTTTCAATCTAGCGAGTATCCGCCTACAACTAGAGGCAGCCTTAGAAATAGTAGAAGGACCATATTTATTTATTTATTATTTATTTATTAGTTTATGCAAGGAAGGCAAGTTGGGAAAAGCAGTTGCTATGAACTGGTGAAGCTGACAGTGAGACCACTGTCAAACACAGAGCAGAACCTGGAGGGAAAAACAAGCTTTGTCCTTCTGGGCATGTTGAAAATGATAGGTCATGAGAAACGTTTGGAGTTGAGTAGCGATAGTTCTTTTATGTTGCCCCTTTTTGTCAGCCGAGGGAGAATGTGGATACAGGTCAAGCTCCTGCATTGCCAGTGACCTTCCGTGTTCAGCTGTGGAATTTCTGATCGAAAATGTGACTTCATGATAAGGTCAATTTTTCTTATTAGCTACAGTGGTGAGAGTGGCGTGTTCTGCAGACTGATTTGATCGAGTATCACAACAGTGTTAGCTGAACAAATAGGTCATCCTGCACAGCAGCACATCATCTTGAATCGGAAAATGTGTGGAATTAAGAAGTGACAATTAAGCTTTTGTTAGCAGCAGCATCTTAATTGCAGGCAGAGCTTCAGTCATATAAATATATGTATTTGGGCTTGCAATGTACCGTTTAATTASAAACAGTAGCCCCGAGGTGCTCTGTTACGAAGAGAGCTTTTGACTTTCTGCCTTGGAGTGCAAACCTGGTTGTTTCTAGACAAAACCTTTTCATTTAACCTGCTGTGGATTGGGGAATGATGGCAACTACCTGTAACACTTTGAGTTGTCCCCTTCTTTATGCTTTTGAAGTCTCATTCTTTTACAGATTATGAGTTCTTTGCTTCTGCTGCTAGCCAAAACCCTTCTGCAGTAGTGTAGAACTGTGCTTTAGAGAATACAGAAGCTCATTTATTTGGAAGGTGAGTCACTACGAGACTCCATTAGGCTGTACCTAATGGCAAACACCATCTATTCTTACAGGAACACAATCTGTTATTTTAAGATGATGAAGAGAGAGAGACTGTATGAAGGAGTAAATAGTCTGAATAACCAGGTGGCTTTTGCTGCCATTAGGAGATGGCTCTGTGTGAACCTGAGAAGGATCCAGTGGGAGTGCCTGCCGCTCACAGGACTGCTTGAAGCTGCTTTGTGGGACTAGGATCTGATCGCCAGCTCTTCGGAGAACTTGGCTCTTCAAAGGCAAGTGGAGACACTGGGAAGGCTCCAGTGCACTCTAAAAGCCCATATCTTGGTTATTTAGCCAGTTGCACAACCTTCTGGATCAAGAGCATGTTGCTTTGGGCATGGCCTTGTCATTCTTCTCATGAAATTTCATTGGAAATCACTAGACACTGTTTTGAAACAGGGAAATGCTACTTAAAATAGCTTCTTATAAAACAAGATACTTGGAAGCTAGCGACTGTAAACTCGTGAAAACCCTGGGTGGGATGTTCTGCACTTTCATAGAGGCAGAAAGCAAGAGGCGTTGGGGGCCTTAATCCAACACCTTCTGACACAGGGCTAGGGAGCAAACCCTCCTTACAGGCTGGAGTTGACCTTGATTTGCCAGGGTTGCCTATGAACCAGAGGGGAAACAGTTGATGGTATTTCACCAGATGCATATGTAATTACGTTGGGTGCAAAGAATATGTCGAGTGCAAGAAGATACTTTTCCCTCCTGGCTTTGGTGCAGCCTCCATGTGGCCCCAGGGGCCTCAGCCCCTCGACACTTAAACACCCAGATTCAAACAAACGAGTCGCTTATTAAACCGGTCCCCAAATCCCCTACTGAGGTCCAGGGGCTGCCTGGGGTGGCAACCTGGCTTCCCACGGCTCCTGCTGCCCCTCTGCTTCAGCTTCGCTCAGAACGTGCTCCAGCTATTTCAAAATCACACGTACAAGCCCTCCAAAGCACCGCGGAAAAGGCAAGGTTTCTTGCACCAGAAACACACACCTGAACAGGGGCATTGTGTGGATAGTTGCAAGTGTTCTGTATGCAGCACAAAATAGTATTGGTCTGTCCAGGGGAAAAGCACATTTGCCAGGCTGATGTGGAATTATCTGGAAATGCAAGTTCAAAATAGTTTGTCCAAAAAGGCCCAGATTTCAGACCAAAATTTTACCTAGCTTAAGCAGTGTTGCAGCATATGCAAGGATATGTTATCTGCTTCCCCAAATGCCAAGGAATTTTCCCCCAAACCTAATCACAACTGCAGTATCCTCTGTATTTTAAATTATTGTAAAGCTAAAGGGTGTGCAGTGATAAGTAAGTGCATGAATTCTTTCAGGATAGTAATAATACCGTGAACCACCTTGCAGGTGCTGCACTAACACGTACCTGCTTGTGTCTTGGCAGGGCCGTCCGGGSTTCTTCCGCCGCCTGTCCCTGCATGGGCTGTGTGTGCAGGGCTGTCCCGCGCTCCTGTGACTCCCTTCACCCCGCGCAGCCTGACGCCCGTCCTGGCCCGTGCAAACCCATGCAAGGGGAATCGAACCGCCCTCCTCTTGCCCAGCACGTGCGGGACAGCTCAGGACCTGYGTGCGGCCCCTGTGCAGCAACGACCGTGTCAACATGGGCGTCGTTTTCACCCCAACGAAGCAACAAGCCTGCCGTTCAACTCCCGCGAAGCGGGGCTGAGCAGCTCCGGCATCGCTCCAGCACCGCTTCCAAGTGACAAAACGTGAAGAGGACAACGTGCAGCACTTCCTACGACGTGTTCCACTGGGCTGATCCTACGGACTCATCATTACCCTTTCTTCTACAGGGACTCAACCAGGAAGGAGAAGCGCGGTTCCGCGAAGCCCGGACACAGCCCAAGGAAGCGGAGCAGCCCCTGCACCAGGGACACCAGGTGAGTGTCTGCCCGGCCTCGTGCGGTTTAGTCACCTGCGCTCGCTGCCAAAGGGTGGATTTCATCACCTCGCTGCGAGGGGAGCCCGTGTGAGACCGTCTCCTTGCACAGAGGTGAGACTGAGCGTGGGCAAATCTCCCCCGGTGCTGCAGTGGAGCAGCAGGGAGGTGTCTGGTGTTCAGCACCCATCCACTTAGCTTCCTCCAGAAAAAGAGCTAAGTGAGGTGGGCATCATTTGCTCTCAGTGCCTGCTGGTGTGAATAAATCATCTTAGTGTTCCTAGTAAATGCTCGAGTTAATATAGCACTGAACTGATGATAAGGGCTTTTCCTTGCTTGGGATTCAGCCTAGTTACCGACAAGGTGCCATGAACATCCCCACGTGGACGTGATCCCTGCATACGGAGCCCGCACTCCGGGGTCGGCCGCGTGGCTGACGGTGCCATTGGATTAAATACCGTTGGGTTAAAATGCGTTCTCGACTTGCCTGGTGTGGGGAGGCTGCTCTCACCCCTGCTTTTCCCTTGAGATAGGGAATGAAAGAAGCTTCCTGTGTACTGGCCCTCTGCGCTGGTGAACATTCTGTATTTCCAGCTCTGTTAATATTTTTTGACAGCAAGCAAATGCTCATTGTGTCCTTTTCAGCAGTGAAATCTGCTCTGGATGCAGCTCTTGGTGTGTTAACTTCTTAGAACGGGAATCATCCGACTGTTTGATTTACACGGSTGCCTTAGAAACCTCTAAGCAATCACTGAACTCCGAGCTCCGCATACAGAGCATATGAAATCAGAGTTCCTGCTCCCTGGAACTCATCTCTACGTAGGGTTTTTGGAGAAACGTGCAAGTGTTGAGCAGCTTAATGGTTTTAAGCTGTTGTCTTTTGAATTTCAAGGGTGGGGAGAGAAACCAAGAAGTGACTTCATTTCTTTGGAGTTACCCTGAGAAGCCGGGTCTTCTCGTGGGTGCTGGCACCACTCTGCAAGGCTGCACTTCAAGCTAACAAGCATTTATACTCGCAATCCATTTATGAAATGTTCCCCTTTTTACAAAGAGGGGAAAGCGAGGCACGGAGGTCACTTTCGGCGGTGACGGCAGCAGGACGAGGCGGGGATGCCGAGCGCTGCTCGCTGTGGTCCGGGACACGGCCACCTCGATGCCGCGCGAGCCGCTCCGCGGCCCGGAATCACCCCAAGCTCCTTCCGGAGCGGCTCCCRTGGGCGGCAGCTTTTGAGCGCTCCCCTCCTGCTTCCTGGGGGCAGKCTGGGGCAGCGGGAGGGGAGAGAAGCGCCTGTGCCGGCAAGGCCGAGGCTGCCATTTATGGCAAGGAAGAGCAGAGCGGCGCGTGCAGCCGGGGCGCGGGCCCCGCAGCCGCCCTGGGCCCCGTGTTCGGCAGCGGCACCTCCTCGTGTTTCCCGTTACCAAGGGCCTCTCCTACCCGCCCCGGGGCGGCGGGAGGCCGCCAGAGGCAGCCCCTTCCCGGGGGCCGCAGGCGGCAGTGCCGGGGGTCGTGGTGGAAGGGGCCGAGGGCGCCGCGCAGAGCCCCCTCACCCCCGGGAGCACCGGCCCTCCCCCGGCAGGGTCGGGCGGCCCTGACGCCCCAACTGTCCCTTCTCTCCCGGCCTTTGTGTTCCCTCCCGCGAGGGACAGAGCCGCGTGGCGCCACTAACTGCGCCCTGCCGCGGGGCGCGCGGCGACGGGGAGCCCGGCTCCCGTTATCCCGTTATCCGGCCGCAGCTCCCGCTGCTCCTCTCCCTTTCAGGCCTCCCTCCTGCAGCGCGGGCCG